TTAAATTTCTTAAGTATAGTCTCAACATAATGTGATTGAGACAATGACAAACCATCGGATGTCTTAGAGATTTTAATCCCTAATATTACATTCGCCACTCCCATATCCTTCATGTCAAAATGTTTTGTTAACATTTTCTTAGTCGAGGAAATGACTTTGGAGTTATTTCCCATAATTAGCATATCGTCAACATATAGGCATATGATTACATATTCATTAGGTGCGTTTTTAATGTAGACACATTTGTCACATTCATTGATTTTGAAACCATTTGACAACATAGTTTTATCAAACTTTTCATGTCATTGCTTCGGTGCTTGTTTCAATCCATACAATGATTTTACAAGTCTACACACCTTCTTTTCATTTCCTGGTGCAACAAACCCTTCAGATTGTTCCATGTAGATTTCTTCTTCTAATTCACCATTTAGAAACGCGGTTTTGACATCCATTTGATGTATTTCAAGATTATGCAATGCTGCGATTGCAATCAAGACACGTATAGACGTAATTCTTGTAACGGGTGAATAGGTATCAAAGAAATCTAGTCCTTCTTTTTGTCTATACCCTTTGGCTACTAATCTAGCCTTGTATTTATCAATTGATCCATCCGACTTCAATTTCTTTTTGAAGATCCATTTACAGCCTAATGCTTTGTTTCCCGGAGGGAGTTCAACCAATTCCCAAGTATGGTTACTCATGATGGATTCAATTTCATTGTGTACAGCTTCTTTCCAAAAAAGAGCTTCGGGAGAGGACATTGCTTCATCAAATGTCCTAGGATCATTTTCAAGTAAATTGGTTACGAATTCTGGACCGAATGTCTTTGGAATTCGTTGCCTTTTACTACGTCTCGATTCTTCATTTACTTGAAGATCATCATTCTTTCCATATATGTTATCATAAATTCGTTTATTTGAACTTAGTTCCTTTTCTTTACACGGAAAACTGTCTTCAAAGAAGACCGCATTTCTTGATTCAATAATTGTACCTACGTGTACATCAAGTACTTTGGATTTGTGAACCAAGAATCGACATGCACTACTATTGATAGCATATCCAATAAAGACACAATCAATTGTCTTTGGTCCAATCCTAACTTGTTTAGGTTTGGGTATTTGTACTTTCGCTAAGCACCCCCACACTTTGAGATATTTGTAGGAAGGTTTCCGACCTTTCCATAATTCGTAAGGTGATTCAACCTTATCTTTGTGTGGTATTTTATTAAGGATATGATTTGCAGAAAGTATGGCTTCCCCCCACAAGTTTTGAGGTAAGCCCGAACTAATCAACATTGCATTCATCATTTCCTTTAACGTTCAATTTTTGCGTTCAGCAATTCCATTAGATTGTGGTGAATATGGTGTCGTTGTTTGATGAATTATTCCAGATTCTGCACAAAATTCTTCAAACGGTGCAACATAATCTCCACCTCTATCACTACGAATTATTTTAATTCGTTTTCCAAGTTGATTTTCAACTTCATTTTTGTAGTGTTTAAACACTTCCAAAGCTTCATCTTTGCTTTTCAACAAGTACACATAACAGTACCTTGTACAATCATCTATAAATGTGATGAAGTACTTTTTACCACCCCTTGTTTGTACGAACTTCAAATCACACACATCCGTGTGAATTAGTTCTAATGGTGTGGTGTTTCGTTCAACCGAATGAAATGGTGTTTTGGCCGCTTTTGCCTCGACACATGTTTCGCATTTTCCATTATTAAAATGCATATTCGGAAGTAAACTTAAATTCATTAACTTTCGTATTGAATTAAAGTTTGCATGTCCTAATCTATGATGCCATAGATTACATGACTCAAGAATATAAACTGAAGATGATGTTTTATTGATTGTAGCATTTGGCACAACAGTTAGGACATTCATTTTGAATAGTCCATCTTTTACATAGCCTTTGCTTACATACATATCATTTTTGGTAAGTACAAACTTATCCGATACAAAGAATAGTTTAAAGTCATTCTTGCTTAACAAAGAACCCGACACAAGGTTCTTGCAAATATCCGGTACGTGAAGGACATTATTGAGGCTAAGTTCTTTTCCCGACGTCATCTTCAAGACCACTTTGCCTTGTCCTTCCACTTTGGATGTTGAGGAGTTCCCCATAAACAATTTTTCTCCCTCAGTTGGAGTGTATGATGTGAACATTCCTCTATCGGCACAAATGTGACGGGTTGCACCCGTATCAACCCACCATTCCATGGGATTTTCAACAAGGTTGCATTCAGAAACAACTGCCGATAAATTCATATCGGACATGCCATTTGATATGGCATCAGATTCGACAATGTTGGCTTGGGATTGCTTCTTAGGTTTGCGACAATCAACCGAGCGATGTCCAGCCTTTCCACAATTGTAGCAATTGCCCTTGAACTTCTTTGCATTCTTCTTTGTAGATTCAACGGAATGCTTTCTCTTCTTTCCTTTGTTGTTGCTAGATTCTACCACATTTGCCTTTGCTTGTGGTATGCTATTCCCAACTCCTTTTTCCGAACTTCGGTTGTTTTCTTCAATCCTCAATCGGACCACAAGTTCTTCAATGTTCATCTCCTTGCGCTTGTGCTTGAGATAGTTTTTGAAGTCCCTCTACATGGGTGGAAGATTCTCGATAATTGCAGCCACTTGAAATGATTCGCTCACGGACATATTTTTCGCATGAATGTCATGGAGTATGACTTGCAATTCTTGCACTTGACTGATGACGGTCTTCGAATCTACCATTTTGTAGTCTAAGAATTTTCCCACAATGAACTTCTTGGTTCCGGCATCTTCGGTCTTGTACTTCTTTTCCAAGGACTCCCATAGTTCCTTTGCAGATTTCTTGTAGCAATATACACCGTATAAGGCGTTGTCCAAGCCATTAAAAATGTAATTCTTGCATAAGAAGTCCGAATGTTTCCATGCATCCAAAGCAATCAAAGATGCCCTATTGTTTTCCCCTTCTTGTATGGCGGGAGGATCTTCATTCAAGAATTTCGCCAAGTTGAGGGTTGTGAGATAAAACAACATTTTCTGTTGCCACCTTTTGAAATCAACCCCAACAAATTTCTCCGACTTTTCCCCATGTGAAACTGAGTTTGAATGTACGATAGTAGGGGCACCCACAACCGGAGGAATCACATTAGTAGTAGTTGTATTCAAAACGGAAGGAATCACACCGGTAGGAACACTTCCATGTTCGAAGTTTCATTCGAAGTAGTATCGGTATTAAGAACCGTATTCATTTCTGTTTACGTAAAACAGAAGATCAACCAAAAATAGAAGTGAAGAAGAAGTTAAACTTAACAAGTTTATCCAAACAAGAATGTCACTTTCACAAAATATATACAAACTTCGACTTAAGATTGTTGGAGGAATTTTGTGAATAGTGACGCCAAAATAAGTATAATGATGGTTTGAAATCCGTGCCGAAAATTGGACAGAGTAACGGCAAAGAAAACACAAACAAGAAGAAGAAGAAAGTAGGGACAAAGCCGAGGCAAGAGTTGGACTCTTTGTCCTTAAGTCAAATTTGCCCCGCAACGGTGCCTACGGATTTCGGCAATCGACTCCCAAGATACAACAGCTACACTTGTATTTGTAGCACTCTAAAACACAAGTACAACGAACCAAATTTAGGCATATGTACTCCAAGGATGAAAAGAAGGAAAATCAAAATAAATGAAATGATTTTGATTTTGGATAGAAAAGAGGATGAGAGATGTTTTGCATATCAAATTGTGAGAAATAGGACACCCAAAGGGTCCTATTTATAGACCATGAAAGGGTGTGGACGAAATGATTGAGGCCAAACCATGCACCCTTTCCAAACAATGCACCTTTATGAAAAGGTGTCTATTCACTAATGGTTGAGGCCAAACTATGCACCCTTTCCAAACAATGCACCTTTATGAAAAGGTGGTTATTCACTGATTTTCGTCCTTTTTCGTAATTTCTCATTCATCCGATATTGGTTTACGAAATGCCAAATATACCAAACAATTTTGCCTAAACGGATTGAGTCGAGCTTTTGAGTATTTGGCCGAAGTCGATACGAAGTCACTTTAATCGATTTTCAATTCTCGATTTATTTAACCAATATCCAACAATAAGTTGGGAGAGTGAAATTTTGGATTGGTGCAGTATTTTCAGATTTCATATTTCGAATTTGAGGTATATCTCTTCCTTTCTCCCATCACAAAAAAATTGAAAGCCGTGGTCCAATGTATTTAGATGCGGTCCACCATTTTGCCGAACAGAACTAATGCTAGTATCAAGAAATTATAAAAGATAGATATGTCAATCTGTAACATTAAAAACTTAAGCAGATGAAATTATTGTCTGGACAATTCAGTTCAAATGCAATGATCAATTCCGTAACATAACAAGAGAAAACAGCCGGCACCGCCTCAGAGCTTGAATCGGACTTCAAATCAACTCAAACAAAACATTCTCGGATGTGAAACATCTATAGTTAACAAAGTGAAGAACAATTGTAATTTATGAATTTAGTTGGTTTATATAAGATTATTTAAGTTACAGTATCTCTCTGTGATCTTTCTTTTCACCGTGACTCAGTTGTCAAACTATTAGGTTATTCTTTCACATTGTTAAAACAAACAAGGAAAATAAGCAGAGGGAGTGGAAAGAATTAACAGGTATTTCTCTAATCTCAAGTGTACGATATCTTACCCCAAGGGAGAACAGGGAATTCCCACTTCCGCTTAGGAACAGTAATAAGATAAGCAGCTACCTGTGAAGCATAGAGAACTCTTTAGACGAAAAGGAAATGAGGAAAAAAATGTCAAAATTTATAGCCATTACATTATAAGAACCAAGAAAATGTAAAAGACGTGCCAATATGGATGCAGCCAGAGAACGGGGAGATCTGTAAAGAACTGATGTTTCTTCCTTTTCATAAAGTAGATCCATGATATCCATACAAGCTTCAAACTTCACATGTTCTCCAACTCGGGCAACTTCCCTATTTCCAAAGAGAGGAGTTTAAAGAAAAAATTTAGGTCGTTAGGATCAACATACTGATGGTGAAAGAGTTCTAAAAATATGATTCCAGTAGTGCAAATATACTACTTCATGTTGACAGAAAAAACTTACCTTAATTGAATAAGAAGCTCTTCAACAAAGTTAAAAGCAATATTTGTCACACCGATCCCAAATTCAATAACCTTAAAAAATTTTATCTTCTCAGTTAATATACAAGAAGGAAATTCAGCGCTAAAAGAAACCCAAGAGTATAAAGAGGAATAGCACTAAATTTAAATATCAGTTACCTGCAGAAAGGTCATCTCCTGTAGAATCCTTCATTAATCACCATGAATAAGACCAAAATAAACGAACAGATTCTTAGTACCATTTATGGAATAGCTAGCTTACAGCTTCCAAAAGATCTCTAGTTGTAAAATGCTGTTCCTTAATGTATTTGTCTGCCAAAGGCTTCAAGTTTTTGATGCATAGGGGAGGAGTATCGTGCATCTACAAATTAGGCACCTTAGAAGCAAGCAAAAGATTGAAGATAGAGAAATGCTGATAAATAGCCGAAACTTACTTTGCTTGAGACCCAGATTGAAATAAGACCAAATAGCTGTAAATTGCTTTCTCTCAACGGAAGTAGAAGCCAGTTGTCTGGGCTCTTGCCATCTCGGAGAAATCTGGCTCAGTTGAACAAACGTGTCAACTGAAAAACAAAATATATAGAAGAGGAAAAAATAGTAGGCTTCTTACTCAAGAAAACCAGAAGGAAAACAGGAAGAAATTTCAGGTCTTTTAACTCCATGCCAAAAGATTTATAAACGAAATATACAATGTTTAAATAACTAATAAGATATCCACCAGACAGTTTTATGGTGAGAGTAGAACAGTGTTGATCCAGTCAGAAGAAAAGAAAAGAAAAGAAAAAGTTACATACCATAAGTTAATTGTCAACTGAAACTTTCAAGAGATTCAACAATGCAAGTTCAAATATTCGAAGATACTCCCAGTTCCTCTACTGCATTTTTCGTCATAAATGAAAAAGATCTTGAAATGTTATCATTCTCAACTCCCTTGCATTTTTATCCGGCTCTGTTGAAAGCTTTGACAAGTTGCGAGGTTAGACTTAAGCTGAGGTGTCCAAGAAATTCACCCAAATGTGGACAAAAAACCAAAGTTCATGAGGCCTATACCTCCAAGAAGATGTCAAACCTACCCCAAGGGCATTAGTTAACTGACAAGGATATAGGGAATAACATCCACTGTCGTTAGCGTCAGTTAACATCTCGTAATAAAAAACATTTATCGCTTCTCAGAAGCAAGGTAATAAAGAAACTTTCAAGCCTTAGCCATTGAAGGCAAGGTTATTTTAACTGTCATTTTAACAATATGCTAGATGTGATCTCATTTACAGGATTTATCTTTAAGCTAAAACAGAACAAATATTCTCTGGATCCTATCAATTTTTGTTCCCTTAAAATGCAACTTAAACCACAAAAGATCTCTCTCTCTCTCTCTCTCTCTCTGTGTGCCCGCTAACCCTCAATCTCTTCCTCATGGTTGAGAAATGTGAAAATAGATATGAAGTCAAAACCAATTTGTTCTTTAAGAAAAATGAGAAAAGAATGAATGAGATGCAAGAAGGCATTTTAATTTAATATTTTAAAAAATTGGTGGCGCAAAGTTTTGAAGAAATATTCAAAGATAGATATACACTGTTTCAGACTTGTTAGTAGAAATGGTTTTATTAGTGAAAGTTTCTATGATCTTATCCAAGTTGGTTTTATTAGTGAAAGTTTCTGTGATCTTATCCAAGTACCAATACTGGAACTTTCACATGTAAAAATGAGATGTAGGATACCCTCTCCTCATGTAATTTGAGTATTAATGTCTCAGTGCTCAATGACGTGATGATGCAATTCATGTGCATGAAGAGTTGAAAGGACTGCAACTGGCAAAATTTATTTCTTGATGATTACTCGTATGCAGATTATTGCATTGTTTGGGTCATCGTCTACATTACAATGTGTTGCAGCATCCAGACCTTTGCACACTTAGCTCTCACATTCCAAACATCTAGAAATCCATTAGCTTTATTCAACTCTTTGTTTTCTCTGGATTTCATCCACAGAACCCCCAGAAATTCTAAGCTTAGGACCCTTAACATCTGTTTCCAGGACAGATTTCCATATCTACCCATTTTGAGAAGCTTTTAGACCTAGATTATCCGAATCCAGCTCACTAATAGATTCTTACAGAGCAACTAGACAGTCAGAACTTAAACCCCTGAGCCTCAAGCTGAGTTCATATCAGAACTCAATATTTAAGATAGATCTTGAAACTTCGCGATTGGAGACTTTGGACAAAACTTTTGGAATTATTGAAAAGAGAGAATACATTAATGATAAAATTTATGACATTATATACAATCAGATAGACAATTTAACTAAACCGAGGTAGCCTTTATGATGCATAGAAAGTAGGTCAGAGCACAATGACAGTGTCAATGAAGGCATTAATAGATTGAGTGCTTCAAACTCTTCATTGTCTATCATAGCTGGTCAGAAGGAAAGGAAATTATGAATAACAAGCAAACACAACATGTTGCCATCTTTTAAACATAAATAACCACAAAAATTGCAACTTAATGCTGAAGCACAGCTGTGGATATGCTTAGATCTGATATTGAAAAAAAAAAAAAAAAAAGAAATTGCTTCTGCAGTTTGACACAGTCAAAATTCAAATAGTATACCATACAATCAGCCAAAAAATATAGCGGCTTAAATAATTATAACCTAGATTACGGCATTCAAAAATTGCTTCGCTGTCTAATAAATTATTGTGCAAATTTCGATACTACAATGGCATCGCATCGCATAACCTTTTATAACTTTTCTTTAACAAAAGGTGACACGTAAACGGATCAACTCTTCCGATAAACAGAAATTGGAGACTTAGATGAAACTTACCTAACGAGAACAGGGTAAAAGCGGTCAGCTAAGAGTGACAGTGCGGAGTATTTAACGATCGGAGAAACTTCCAGCAACTAATTTCAAAACAAAAGGGACAAAAAATTAAAATCTGTTAAAATATAAGTAATCTAGATATTCTTGTGTATTATAGGCTACTTACATGAGCTGATTGAATGAGGAACTCGATTACTCTGGATCGCAGACATGAGCATTGCTGGCTTCTCATTTGTGGAGGAATTGAGAGATGGAGTTTAAAACGAGTAATTTGTCGATTTGAAAATCTATATATGTGGCGCGAAGGTATAATTGGGCCAGACTCTAAACGCACTTGATCCAAGTTGGAGGACAACACGGCGTATGGCCCATGCTATTCACCTTCTGCCACTCTATTGTCCATGCGTATAATATTTTATTGTATGAATATATAATTAAAAATGAGTATATACCAAAAAAAAAAACAGTTTGAAAACAATGATATCAAACAGGGGTTATATTAGATTAATTTTCTTTAAAAATTATTTTAGTCAAACATACTTTCAGAAAATTATTTAAATAAATTTAAAAGTAATTTCTTAATTTTAGAAGTATTTTGACTTTTTAAAACCTCGTTAAATAGATCCTTAGTATTTAACCCTTGTTTGAATCCTATTTTCACAAAAAAATGCATTTTATAATATTGACTTTTTTTTGTGAATGTGCAGTTAAAAAGTAATAAAAAGTTTTGAATTTGTGCAAATTAATTTATTAGTAAAATGTATAATTAAAAATAAATTTGAAAAAAAAAAAAAAATTTCAAAATGGTATCAAACAGGAGGTTAGGGTTATTAAGAAGTAATCATTGTGTTTATAAAACTTAATTCTTTTAAATTAAAAATATTTTTTATAATCTAAATCTAAAGAAAAACATAGTTTCATATCTAAGGCCCCATTTGGGAGGGATTTTGATAATTGATTTTTTGACCGTTAGAAGAAAAGTGAGATCCACCTATGAGAGAAGAAGTCAAAAATTACGACTGAAATAATGAAATAACGTTCAAAAAATTAATTTTTTGGGGTAAAAAATCCCTCCCAAACAGGCCCTAAGTAAAATTATATGTTTTGGTTACGTGACGTATTTTTCTAATTTTGTTGAATAAGAGAGGAGCTTATAACTGTAACTAGATATGATAATATTTTACTGAAAAACAATGCAACTTTTTAAACTCGAGATATTTTTTTAATTTAAAGAGTCATACTTGTGATTCAAAAGACTCTTTATTCTAATTTTTAAAATGGAAAACGTGTTTCACACTTTCTGTTATTACTTTATAATGGTTGCGTCTAACAAATTTCTTAATTTATTTAAGTTATATTTGAATTGGTTAGCCTTTGACATATAAAATAAATAATAAATAAATAATTATTATTTTGTATTTATTTTATTTTTATTAGCATCAAAATTGTAAATTTTTTATTTATAAGTAACTTCTTACATTTTACAAATATTTTTTTCTGTATTTTTATTAGTTAATAATTTCTTACATAAAAATGATTGTTGGAAATAAAATAGTGATAGCAAAAAATATAAACAAATAAAAATATTACTAATAAACAAATTCAGAAAAAAAAATTAATCTCCATACTTGGAAGTCTCAGTCCTTCGTAATACGGATGCTTGATCTCTTCATAACAAGAGACTTGATCTCTCCATGAGATCAAGCCTCCGAATCACGGAGGATTGGAGAAATCAAGTCTCCATAATAAATTTGGAGAGATTCCTTTGATATATTTTTTTATTTAAATGTTATTTTATTTATAGATCATCTATTTAACACATAAGTTAATATTTAATTTTAAAAATTAAATATATTTAAATATTTACTACAAATTTTTAAGTTAATATATTTTTAAGTTACAAGTAATTTTTACAATTATAAGTTTTTTTTTTTTACTTTTAAATAACTTTAAGCGAAATTTTTTTACATATAAGCAACTTTTACATTTTAGAAATTTTTTTTTCTTATTATTAGTATTTTTATTTTATAATAATTTTTTACACAAAACTGATTTTTTTTTTTACTTATAAGTAGTTACTTTACAATTATAAGTTATTTTTTTGCTTTTAAATAACTTGAAGTAACTTTTTACAACCTACAAATATTGTTGTCTTATTTGTATTTTTATTTTTTTAATAATTTCTTAAATAAAAGTGATTTTTTACTTATAAATAATTTTTAATTATAATATAGTTTTTCTTACCCACATGTAATATTTTACCTATAAGTAATGTGGTTGAGAGATGAGAGTTGGTAGGACGTATGGAAAGTTGTGTATTTCAACTTATAATTGTAAATAACTACTTATGAGTAAAAAAATAACTTTTATGTAAAAAATTTATTATAAAATAAAAATACTAATAATAAGACAAAAAATATTTCTAAAATGTAGAAGTTGCTTATAAGTAAAAAAAAAATCTCTTAAGGTTATTTAAAAGTAAAAAAATAAATTATAATTGTAAAAGTTACTTATAACTTCAAAAAATTAATATCAATTAAAATGTTTACGAACCGTTTAAATAATAATTTATTGAAGGGGTTAATTCAGGAGCAAAAGTGTAAATTCCATAAATATATGATCGAAAAAAATAAATTTTAAAAAATGAAGAACAAATATGTTAACAAATGAATATATTTATTTTTCGAGAAATGAGTTTTTATTACCATTTCATTTTTATCATGAAATGATTCTAATTTTAATATGTTAAATTGTACTTCAAAATTACATAATCTATCAAATATAATTTTTAAAATTAATTTTTATGAAGTAATATGTTTTTATGATTTTTTTATTATTATTATTATTTTTTCTTTTGTAAAGGCTTGAGCCTCCATAACAATTATGGAGGCTCAAGCAAACGAAGGCTCATGCTTGAGCCTCCATAATTACTTTACTTAAAAAAAAAAAATCATAAAAACATATTAGTTCATAAAAATTAATTTTAAAAATTATATTTGATAGATTATGTAATTTCGAAGCATAATCTAAAATATTAAAATTAGAATCATTTCATAATAAAAACGAAATGGTAATAAAAACCCATTTCTTAAAAAATAAATATATTCTTTTGTTAACATGTTTGATTTTCAATTTTTAAAATTTATTTTTCTTCAAACATATTTTCAATCATATATTTATGAAATTCACACTTTTGCTCTTGAATTAACCTCCTCAATAAATTATTATTTAAACGGTTCGTAAACATTTTAATTGATATTATTTTTTGGTCAATCAAATAGTTACTATATACTTTTTACGTACATATATAAAAATAATATTTTTATTTAAACTTACTATGTACTCAAAAATAAACTTTCTAAAAATACATACTTGATAGTGTCAGAAAATGATGAAAGAGATAGTGTGGAAAAATAGAAAGGCGTGACAATAGCATGTAAAAATGGAGAAAGAGTAAAGAGGACTCTATGATATAATCCTCCACGCCGCGTAAATTGAGGAAAAGCAACAAAGTTACTGTATCAAATATCTAAGATAAACGACATCGTTTCTTTCTCTAAAAAAAAAAAAAGAAGCTATAGTGAGACAAAATGGAAAAATTTACTGTTCTTTCTACAGTAGTGAAACGTTGCCCTTTTTATATAGTAGTGAAAAGATGGTGGGTATAGTGTAGTTTAAATTTCCCACAATGATCAAGGGCACGCCGCCGGTCCAGACAACCTAGCCGGCCTAAAATTGAAAAAAATAAAAATAAAATTCTATACAAGTACCTTGGTTGAGTTTAACCAAAAATATGATGAATGAGAAAAAAAAATTAAATAAATAAATATCGCCAAGACATTTTGAAATTTATCCATCAAGTAAAATGGAAACTATCATTGATAACGCTGATGGCCAGAAACATTGCTAGACTTCAAAACAAAATTTAACACCAGATTTTGAGACCCCCAAATGCCTTGACAATTTTCAAAATCATGGATCATGATAGAAAATTAATGAACTAAAAAGTACCAAGTAAATCCCTGCACCAGGCCGCCGAATATGTACATGTAAAACAGACCAGATGCAGCAGCAATCCAGTTGTGGTATACTGGTATCCACAGCATAAATCTACCTGATGATCACAAACTTGTTGGTACCATGTTTTGCCCAGTATGTCTTAAGATCAATCGGATTAGCAAAGTTATAGCCTTCTGATGCGAATTTCTCCAAAACCTTCTTGAAAGCACCCTGACTCATCTTCCGTCCAGCAATTCTCGCTCCACGTCTTTTGGTATTCATTGGCAGGGGATATATTGATATGGTTGTGGTGCAACAGGCTGACTGCCAACCACCAAATCCCCATCGATAACATTGCTGAGGAGTGCCGGTACATGAGCAAATGGGAATTGGAATACCAGAAATATCCATATCAATTCCATTTATTACAATGTCCAAATTCTTCTTTGAAGTTTTGGCACGCTGAACAGAGGAATTACCAATTTCCTTAGGCAAAGAAGGACCTTTCTTTGACTTCTTCCCCTTGGAGGGTTTCAGAGTAGCAGCAGCAGCTGATCTCTTCTTGGCAGGGACATCTTCCTTCTTAGCACCTGGATCCGCAACACTCACCTTGGAGTCTTTGGTGGTTGAATCAGGTTCTTGAAGCATCTGCATGGAATGATGAGTCCTGGAAGTGTCCATGAGGACTGGGTTATAAAGATTCCCCGGAAACATATGTAAGAATTTATCTCTGTGGTTTATCCAACTGTCTCTAACATAATCCATATGCGTGACAGGTGGTTCTGTAACCACGCAATCCCGGGGATTGAAAGCTCCATTAGCTGCAACCAGAACAGGATTCTCATGTCCGGTAAGGACAGATGTAGTGTCTCTCTCGGCCACGGATGACATGAGCTGAAGACCGAGATGCCCTTTAAGGGAAGGTTCATAATAACCCCAATTCCTGGTGCTTAATCCTTCTCCATCCATTGAGCTACAGATAACATCGTATTCATTGAGTCCTTTCCATAATTCCAGTTAACCATTATTGCTATTGCATTCGTGATTTTCGATACAACTAACAAAAAGGTGGCCAATAAAAACCAGATAGCAAATACATAAGTACAGGTATCAAAATCAAGAAGACCAAGGCACCATGTTTCCCTAAACATGATATAACCCAGACGAGATCAAATCATGCAAACCCATAATTTAAATTTTGAACACCGATTAAAGTGATGTAAAATTCCACAAGGCTTATGAGACCATAAGCAACCAAAACCATGACACACATAAGTTAATTTGAGAAAATGGGTAATAAATTGAAAAAAGTAGATTTTCAACTATTTCTGACTCAACTCAGACCAAATGTAGATTTATCAAAACAAAAAATAAAAAATCAACCGACCTAAATTAATAACTAACAGAACCCTGGTAGAAAATGATCAATAAAAATGCTTTAGCTCATAAAAATCACAACCCAACCAAAGCTTCAACATTTAGTATTTTAAACGCAGATCTGAAACAAAATGACTCTTAGAAAAATAGAACAACAGTAATAATTAAAGCAGCAAATTATAAACATCAGAACACAAATGACATTAAGAATACAATTTCTTTTTTTTTTTTAATTAGGCAAGAAAAAATTATTTTAGCGGGTTGTCACAGAGTGAGGGTCCAGTTAAATTTTTTTATGGCGAGAGAGAGAGAGCTTACTTGTGGGTAAACAACACTTTTTAGGGTTTCTTTTACTTCTGGAGAGAGACAGACATGAAAGACCGGAGAGAGGAGATGTGAGAGGATAACTCTTGAAAACTTTAGCCCTCCCACGAACCTTTTCATTCTTTTTTTTCTCTCTTATTTTTTATCACGTAATTTTTCATAAAATAATATTACACATAAATTAAAAAAATTTCATTCTTTTTCAATAACAAATTTTTAAAAAAAATACTATACCAACCATTAAAATTTAAAAAGAATGGGAGCCAACCATTAAAACTCAATTTCTACGAAAACACTTTCCACATTTAGAACAGGGTAAAAAACACTGAGGATCCTTATCCTTTAAACCTTATGATGTTGGAGTTCTAATTCTTTGATATTTAGTCTATGTAGTCTTAAACCTATCAACGTCTTCTCTTAACCATTAGTGTGAAAAAGGTCAAATTTTGAATAATATAACAATCATATCATTACAAAAGAAAAGGAAAATGAAAACAAAAATGATAATGAATAACAAATAGATAAAAAAAAAAATTGGTAACAGAACCATTCTGCTTTAAACAAAGTGGTTTCAAATTTAGTCTGAAATATAACAAGTGGTATCAGTGCTAAGGTTTTGACTATTAAAGCGATGTTTGAACAAGATTAATTATTTCAGGTACGAGAACTATGAAATTCGAGATTTCACTTTTGGATCGCAACAAGATTTTTTGTTATGGCAAATTTTGTTTTTATTTGAATGCTGGAGGAGAAGTAATGTAAGAATCAGTTATATGTGTTGGAAGTTTCAACGATCACTTTGGATGCAGTTGCAACTTATGGTTTGATAAGTGACGACTCAGGTGGAGTTGGTTGTAATCGGATTGTTCGTGGGGATTCAAACAATAATATTAGGGAATCTGCCAGTAGCTCAAGTAGAGTTAGTTGTGATCTTGTTGATCATGGTGATTTGAGCACGTTTGACAACTCAAGTAGAGTTGCTTGCTCATCATGATTTGAACAATTTTGGTGACTCAGCTGGAGTTGGAAATGATCGGGATGATTCAAGCAAGACTGGCTCGCAAGATAATTCCACTGCTAACTTGCGCTTGAAATTTGTTCACAGTTGCTGAGTATGCCCAGATGGGCATGATGGAAAAGGTCGAGTAATTTGGTAGAGTGTTTTTATTTGGATAATTTTGTTGGCGCTGAAGAGTTAAGTTTTATTCCTTGCAATGGAATTCATGTCGAGGTGGAATTTGTTAGAATTAGGTTGTGACCCTAATTCTTGTTGAGTATTTGATTGAAAATACCGTTGGAAAAGTATTGAGAGTTGGTAGCAGACTTGAAGATACCTTGAAGGAGTCCAAGATGAACTTGACTCCTATTTCATCTACAACTCTGCTTCTAGGGCATTGATTGTCCCTATATATATTTGACTTCTCATGGTAATTTGAGCAAGTTTGACAACTCAGGTAGAGTTGTAAGTGCTCGTGATGATTTGAACAGTTTTGGTGACTCGGCAGAAGTCGAAAATGAAAGGGATGATTCAAGCAAGACTGGCTCGCAAGGTAATTCTACTGGTAAGTTGGGATCGGAATTTGTTCATAGTTGTTGAGTATGCCCAGATGGGCATGATGAAGAGGTGGAGTAATTTGGCGGAGTGGGTTTTTTTTTTTTTTTTTTTGTTTTGGAGTTGAAGAGTTAAGTTTTATTCCTTACAATAGAATTCATGTCAAGGTGGAATTTGTTAGAATTGGGTTGTGACCCTAATTCTTGTTGAGCATTTGATTGAAAATACTGTTTGAAAAGTATTGAGAGTTGGTAACAGACTTGAAGATGTCTTGAAGGAGTCCAAGATGAATTTTGCTCCTATTTCATTTACAACTCTACTTCTAGGACTTGGATTGTTCATATATATATTTGATTCTTCTTTCAATTTATACATTTGAAATTTTATTTTTCTATCCATTAATTATTTATTAATAAAATTACTCGATTCATCTGCAAGTCACTTTTTATTTTAATCTTGTTTTTACTTGTGCTATCAATACTTCATATTGTGTCATATAACCTCTTTGTTTCCCAACAAATTGATTGCCTTTTATTTTTATTTTCTTTAACTATGTTGTATGATATGGGTGTTAGTGTCGGCCCTAACTATAGGTAAGGTAGGCGACCGGCCCCACTTCAATGAGGGCCCAAAAAAATTATTATTTTTTATTTTACATGTATGTTTACATATATATAGGGTCTTATATTTGAAATTGGTCTAAGGCCCCCAAAATCTCAAGTCCAGCCTTAACGAGTGTTCACTATTCAAGAGAGGTAATGGAAAGTTTAGATAATGAAGGGAAAACTTTTAGGGATAATAAAGTTAATTATTTTCAAGAAGTGACTTTCATTTAAGAAATTCCTACGTTATAAGTTGAAAAAAATAAAACAGGCTAGGAATGAAAAAATGTTATTCTGGAGGGGTGAGTTATTTTGGTAGCAATGTTAAGGATTTAATTGGCAGAGATCCATCAGCATTATACTTTGTACAGTATGTTCTGGAGTGATTGTTTTAGGCAAAATGAGAAAATAATTAAAAGTTAATTGTTGACACACAAAAAGTTCAGCCCAAATCGAATAGCCCAAGGAATGAAGCCCAACTGGAAAATCCCCAAAATCAGATAGCCAAAAGAACGAACCAGTCAGGCAATGCAGGATAAAGGCCCAAATAAGGAAGCCCATGAACCCGGAAATACCATCGCCCAAGGTTGCAAGTCGCTCAAGATTTTGAGCGAATGAATTGCCATGCAGTCGCCCAGAGCTGTGGTTCCGCTCTCGTCCAAATATTCAAGTCGTCCAACATCTTAGCAAACATAAGAAGTTATGGTTACCCAAAAGTGAAGTTAATGAAGCAGTTATTGGGTAGTCCTATCACGTTCCACGATTCAAGGAATTCAATTGAAGATGGTTGAACGACAGAAGTAATGGCAGCAGTTAGAGAATGCAGTTTCATGACAAGTTGGCCACTACAAGGAAAGTGGGCAGTTATAGAGCGATCAAGCAGTTTCTTAAGCAGTTTATCACGAAGAAATCACCCAGGGAGTATAAAAGGAAGAAAAGATATAGAGCAAAGGACCCCGAATCAAACACTCTCAAACAGAAAATATGTAACTTTCGATTTCTTAGTTTAGATTTAAACACTTCTTTTACAGTAACTCGTGTGCTTGCGCCCCTTGGAGGCATTCTGTTTTTACTTTCCAATTGTAAAGTCATCACCAATAAAAAAGCCCCCTTTTGGGACTTTGTCTCAAGAGGTTTGTCCCTTATACAGTCGTCTGATCCCTTTTTAATTGTTAGCGACTAACCCGTGCGAAACAATTTGGCACGCCTAGTGGGACAGTGGTATTTGGTGTTGAAAATACAAAAGGTGAAACAATATGCCTCAGAGATTCGATAAGGAAGCAGCAAGTCAGAGAGAAGTCCAGTATGTGATCGAGCGATATGAGGAGCAGCATAACTCTCCACGAACAGATGGACAGAATCAAAGCAGTAACAGTCGTTACGAATCAATGGCAGAGTTGAGTCCTCGAACTATGCGTGCACTACTTGGAGAACTCACACAAGATGTCATTGAACAGGTAAATCTTCGAAATATTCATAATATGGAAAGATTTACCCAGAATGGAAATACACATTATGACAACATGGCCAAACAACTGAATACTTTGAATGAAATAATGAATAAGTTAGTAGGCCAAATTTGTCAACCAGTTACTCCTCTTGCAAACCACTTTCAAACTAGGGCAGTTGTGGGACATAATCCCCCAGTCCTAAATCCAAGTCAGGGGATAGAACCACATTTTGGTCCCTCTACTTCAAACCAAGGGGATGGTGTAATGCTAAATCAGAATAATGGTAGTGGTACACCTAACTTGGGGGGTAATCCAAATGTAAGAGATAATATTCTAAATAACGAGCAGAATACCCCACGTGAGGGAATAAATGTTCAGGCTAATGGTAACAATGGTCCAAATCATGGTAATTTTATTCCTAATCAAGGACCAAATATCAGGCCTCAAGCAAATCAACCGGTCAACCAACCTGTAGGGATTCCATATGACCCCAACGTCATGTTGAGGAATTAGATTATGGAAATCGTACAGGACCAGATGGCTTTTGGGGTACGTCCTGTCATTAGGCCGACTTACACAAAGCCATATCCTGATTGGATAGACCAAGCATACCATGGCCTAGAGGGTATAAAGTGCCAGAATTCTCACTGTTTACCGGTTTAGGGGAGGTGTCCACTCTAGAACACATAGGACGATTCACACTGCAAAGTGGTGACGTAACTGATTATCACAAAATGAGGCTTTTCCCTAGTTCATTAACAAGGGTGGCTTTCTCATGGTTCATAAATTTGCCAGCGAATTCTGTTCAAACATGGCAACAATTAGAACAATTGTTCCACGCTCAGTTTTATAAGACTGAGTCTGAAGTTACTTTGGCCGATTTGGCGAACCTACATTAAATGCCAAACGAATGGGCAGAAGGTTTTCTCCAAAGGTTCAAGACAGCAAGAAGTAAGTGTTTTGTACCTCTGCCCGAAAAAGAGTTTGTCAAAATCGCTCAAGGTTGTTTAAGCTTTGATTTAAAAAAGAAATTTCAAGACAAGGAATTTCCTGACCTTTTTCAATTAAGTGTAAACGTAATTAGGTATGAACAATTGATAAGAGAAGAAGAGCAGATGCAAAATTCTAGCAAGGGGACTTATTATAGAGACCTAAATTTTGATGTTCATACCATCAATGACGAGTCATACGATCAGACCGAAATGTGTTTGGCCAAATTAGTCAAAGGAGACACGTATACTTGTCCCATAATGGCTAAGCCTAGACCATCGGGCAAAGATGAGCCTATGAAAGATGAAAACATAAAAGCTAGAACGTTCTCGTTCGATGTATCCAAAGCTGACCTTATATTTGATAAATTATATAAGGATAAGTAAATAAAGCTGAGCGATAAACATAAATTGCCAAGCCCTGAACAAATTAAGGGTAAAAAATATTGCAAGTGGCATAATGCATGGTCACATTTGACTAACAATTGCTTGGTTTTTCGCCATGT